AAAGGTAAAAATGCTGTTCAGCAAGAAAAAAATTATCCGATGTGTATGGAGAAGATGTATTGACAGAACGCCAGTGCCAAAACTGGTTTGCAAAATTTCGAACCGGCAATTTTGATGTTGAAGCAACATCAAAAATGTGGCAATTGTGATGCACCACGTTCTGGAAGGTCAGTTGAAGCTGATGAAGACACAATAAAGGCATTAATTGATGCTAACCAGCGAATAACAACTCGTGAGATCGCTGAGAGATTAAATTTATCGAATTCGACCGTTCATGATCATTTGAAACGTGTCTGATTGAAAATCGTCTTTCATTTTCATAAGAAAAAACGAAATTACTTTCCGAACAACCTAATAAGTGAGAGAAAGAAAAAGAAGAAGAAGACGTTATTCTCTTCTGAAGCCATACGGAAGGGAATAACGATTATTAATAAATTTATGTTTTACTTGTGCGCACGTCTTCGTTTCGTTTCGCGTTACGATTTCGTGAAACGCCGTGCGACGGATTGCGCTAAAACGCAAATTTATCACTACCTCGCCCGTTTCTTCTTCTTCTTGATCGCGTCTTTCTCTCTCATTATCTATTATTAATTTCCTAATATTATTAAAATTTATAATATACGAGTTCTTATAATTTAACATTATTCCCTTAACTCTACAGATCTCGTGTCGGCGACCTTCGGGTATACGAACGACGTACGCGTAGAATTTCGGGCCTCCAGACACGAACAACTCGATAAAACTGCCCCGACCGTAGCTCTCGAGCTCGTCCGTCATATCGCCTAAAAAATTCCTCGTACGCGGCTCGTACTCGCTCGGTTCGCCTCTGTTTACATAGATACACGAGTCTGTATCACAATATAAAACGCGACTACCTAACTTCTCTAAATATTTATATAATATTAGTCGCGCTTGTGCCATCGTTCAAGCCGCGATTACCGGATTGGTTTGCGTAGAAGAAGCGACCGTCTCTTCGCGTAGTCGCCACGAAACATATATTACCTCGTCGTTGACAGGTAATATATTAGTTATTTCGTACTCTGAACTCGTGAGCAACGCTGCCAAACGATCCTATTTTTTTACGATCTCTATATTAGGCAGATTGGTTCGTTGGCCGAATTTACCCCAGATAGAATTCAGGCAGAGCTTTGCGACCGAACGTAACCCGGGATTTCGGGTGATATTATTTTTATCGAGAACAATACCTTCGGTTTTTTCGTATTCCCGAAGGTACTGTTCCTTACTCTCGTCATCCAGGCATTCGCTCGGCCATCCGCTAGCTTCCTGCTTTAATTTCAAAAAACTGTTGATATATTCGGCAAACAAACCACTCTGCCTCGTACGAGTATCGAACCGCGTGACTCTAAGCTGCCATATTTCGCTCACATTCGTTACGAGATAACTTTTCTCGAGAGAGAAATGGGCAATTCGCAGGATACCCACGCTCCTACGAATTCACGATCGGCGGGGAGATCGTGAGTGCCCTCGGCCTGCGAGAACGTTTTGCAGCAACTACGGCACAGTCCGAACAACAATTTATCTTATACACGGTACGGGAGTACAGGGTGAAAAAGATCGCGTGGAGGAAGTACTGTGCACCGAATGATACCCTCGATACAATCGAAATTAAAATTCGGAGCTGCGCCAATCAGCTCCGAACATTGTTCTCCGATATAAATCATTGGCTAACGGAAAAGTACCTGTTTTTAATACGTACGGATACAGAGAACATACGAGGGTGAATCAAATATTAACCGGAATTCTTTTTTAATATTTATTTATTTATAAAACAATACAAAAATACTGTTGATTATTTTTCTACATAGTCTCCTTCACGCTCTACACATTTTTCCCAGCGGTTTGGAAGCTTGTTAATTCCTTGCTCGTAGAAACTTTGAAGTTGAGTCACCAACCAATTGCGCACGAATTCCTCAACATCTTGATCGTTGTCAAATCGCAATCCTCCAAGAGCATCTTTC